CAACCTCGGAAGTCCCACCAAGAAATCCATGGTGATGCACTCCCTTTTCCACAGGGGAACCTCAAGGGGCTGCAACAACCCTCTCGGTTTTTGGTGCTCAGCCTTCACTTGCTGACACACCAGGCACCCATCCACGAACTTCGCTACCTGCCTCTTCATGCCTCGCCACCAGAAAGACTTCCTCAAGTCCTTATACATCTTCGTGCTACCAGGATGGATGGTGTACGGGGCACTATGGGCCTCCCTCAAAATCTCCTTTCGTAGTTCCCACACCTTCGGGACACAAAGTCTACCCTCGAAGACCGAGGCCCCATCAGATGCGACTACAAATCCACTAATTCTACCGGCTTCTCACAACTCTCTCATGCAGCATAGGAAACGGTCATTCGGCTGCTCGGCGACTATCCTTTTTCGAAGATTCGGTCCCACAAACAAGACGATCAACATAACCCCGGCTGCTGAAGTCGACTCCACCGCCTCTAGCTGTAGTCGCTCGAACTCCCGAAGAAGAACATCTTGCTCGGTGAATAAGCAATATAGCTGGCCATAACTCCTCCGACTAAGGGCATCGGCTACCACATTTGCTTTCCCAGGATGGTAGCTAATGGTGCAGTCGTAATCCTTGACCAGCTCCAACCACCTACGTTGCCGCATGTTCAGCTCCTTCTGAGTGAAAATGTACTTTAGGCTCTTGTGGTCAGTAAAGATCTCACACTTGCCTCCATAGAGGTAGTGCCGCCAAATCTTCAAGGCATGAACGACAGCAGCTAACTCGAGATCATGAGTGGGGTAGTTCTGCTCGTGAGGCTTCAGCTGCCTCGAAAGCATAGGCTACGACTTTCCCCTGCTGCATAAGGACACATCCCAAACCCATCTTCGAAGCATCGCTATAGATGGTGAACTCCAAAGTAGGGTCGGGTATAGATAGGACAGACGCGGTAGTGAGTCTCCTCTTCAACTCCTGGAAACTCTCCTCGCACTAAGGACTCCAATCAAACCTCGCGGCTTTCTTCGTAAGGTTGGTCAGTGGCTGGGCTATCTTCGAGAAGCCCTCGATAAACCTCTTGTAGTATCCTACTAACCCTAGGAAACTACGAACATCTGCAGCACTACTTGGCGTATCCCATTTGCTCACCGCCTCAATCTTGCTGGGATCCACCTTAATGCCTCGAGCTGTCACAATGTGGCCAAGGAATGCCACACGGTTCAGCCAGAACTCGCACTTCGAGAAC